TAGAGCAGTAGAGCAGTATAGTAGAGTAGAGTACAGTGCAGTAGAGCAGTATAGTAGAGTAGAGTACAGTTCAGTAGAGCAGTAGAGCAGTATAGTAGAGTAGAGTACAGTGCAGTAGAGCAGAGTAGAATGCAGGAGAGATGTTGTTGTCGTTGTTGTTGTTGTAGTAGAAGCCATTTGACCCTGACCTTGACCGTAGCCTCGACCACTTTTCCCATTTCTAAAATATTCCGTGGCCTTGAGTTCAAGGCCATTACATTTTACAATTTTACAATTTTCCGTGGCCTTGAGCTCAAGGCCATGGCCTTGAGCTCAAGGCCATTACATTTTAAAATTTTAAAATTTCTACATTACTAGGCCAAGGCCATAGCCTTGAGCTCAAGGCCATATCCTTGAGCCATTTTCAAAATGTTTACATCACTCGATTAGTCATGGTCATCGGTCACGGTCAAGTTGTGTTTATATTTCGCCTAACAACATCTCGAAAATATCTTACCGTAGCCATTGACAAGATTTGAACCCGGGATTATTGAGTACCAGCCCAGCACGCTACGCTAGCACCCAAACACACCATTCCTTATATGTTCAGAACGAATCTATGTGTTAACATTTTACTCAACAAGAGTTTGAAAATAATTTACGAAGTTACCTCACAAGAATTGAACACGGGACAACCCCGTTCTATTCCAACACGTTACGCACACGCCCATACTTACAATTTCTGAGTAGTTCAGGTCTGATGTGTGTGTTATGTTTTCGTTTAACAGCAAGAAAAGTCAACAAAGAATTCATTGCCGAGCATCGATTTTAAAGTGGAAATTTTCATGTATAAACGAAATAGAAATACTTGTAGTTCTTTTCGTGCAAACCATTAATGATTGATAGAACCGTCCTATATTTATTATTGTTGATACTAACAATAATAATAATTTATAATAGTCGTTCGATGCTAATCGAAGCAATATCCCTTCAAACATGGATTCACACAGTAAAATATGTGGTACTCGCCTCTGGTTTGCTTGTCGCAAAAACGGATAGAAATGGCCAAATAAATTTTAAAGAAAAACCACATTACTCGCATGCGTATATGCTTTAGCGGTAGCTAGAACTAACCACACTAGAAAAGGATAGATTTGAGAGCATGTGTACGCCGAAACGGGACATGTATTATTATACGAATTATTTGTAATAATAAAACTGCGCCTATAGTTTTACCACCCCCTAGCTAATATAACAGTAGATCCAAACCGCACAACACCGAAGATTAGTACTTGTTTTTAAAACAATTTCAAAAGGGAACATTTCGC